CAGAGTAAGGAATTTTAAACTGAGAACTGACGAACAATGGACGACGATACAGTTGAGGAAAGATCAAATGGAAGATCCAGACATCGGAGCAATACTACGGCTCAAGGAAGGTAACGGCGAGAGACCACCGTGGCAGGATATTGCGGACAGAGGGCTCGTTTTCAAAGCTCTCTGGGCTCAGTGGAATTCACTGGTGATTGAGAATGGATTGATAAAGCGCACGTGGGAAAGTGCGGATGGCAGGACAGTAACAACTCAGTTACTGGTACCAAGGAAGAAAGTCACCCAGGTATTGGAAGAAATTCACGGTGGTAAAACTGGAGCCCATCTTGGAGTAAACAAGACCTTGAGTAAGCTGAGAGACCGTTTTTACTGGGTGGATTATTGCGAAGATGTTAAGAAATGGTGTCAACGTTGTAAGATTTGCGCAGCTAGACAAAGACCAAGTACTCGATCTGGGGAAGAAATGGAACAGGATAGCGTTGGACTGTCGTTCGAAAGAATCGCTAGGAAGGAAAGATTATTGGACATTCATAAGGCCGTTAGAAGTAAGATTGCGCTAGCCAGTGACCGGATGAAAGCTCATTACGACCTCAGAGCTAATTCTACGGGATTTCAACAGGACGATAGGGTATGGTTGTATAACCCACAGCGCAAGAAAGGAAGGTCCCCAAAGTTAACTCCAGCATGGGAAGGTCCTTATACAGTCATCAAGAGGATAAATGATGTTGTGTACCGGATTCATCGCAGCCCTAGAAGTAAGATGAAAGTAGTTCATCTGGATCGATTGAAGAGATACCAGACAGGAAACCTTGATCGGGACGATCAAATTTGAGAAAGGGGCAATGTTAAGAAAAATGGCCTATCCGCCAGAAATTAAAAATGTATTACTGGTTGCCTGCACAACCGCAACGTATCCGCCAGAAATTAAAAGACTTTTTCAGGCGCCATCTTTTAGTCAAGTCGAGAAGTAAGGGAATCAGACAATAGAATTGTCTGGTATGAAGAAGTACGCTTTCCGAGAATTGGGGAAATTTCGAGAAGCAGTCAATAGAGTATATAAGCCGGAGCCATCGACAACTGGGAGAGTTTTTGAAATTTGAAATACCGCGTGGAAATTGAAAATCGGACAATTTGGTGAAGGAATAGTTAGTTTGTTGTGTGTTATAAGTTAGTAATTGTGTATAAAGTGAGAAAATAAATTCGTTAAGTATTTTATCGTGAGTTTAAATTAGTGGACCCACGGAATCCGTAACAATACCATAAAGGCCATATTGATGATATAGACTCTTCGAGCGACTCCGGCCATAATTATTCTTCAAAGTTTAAATCAGACAATGAACTCAGTAACAGTTCTAAGTCGTCGGAGTATATTCCAAATGAATAAGTGTGGGTTAAATGCATCCGTCATTCGTCATCTGTCGTTGATTTTACGCTTTTTTATTGGTTTATTTAAAAAATGACAGCTTATACTTAAATTTGATAGGAGTGACGGAACCACGGACGACGCATGACAAATATAAACTCATCTTAAGACTTAGATGATTTTCTTTTGTTATTTTGCAATTTTCAGTTTGTTTATTTAAAATTAAAACACAAAATTTGGTTTCTATTGATTATTCCCTTACATTCCCAATTTCAGGGAACGTCCAAAAGTTCTTTCCTGGGAAAATGCCCATCAATATGCACGACACGTATCACTGTGACAGTACGTGAAAAGTTGATATCGTCCGATCACGACAAAATTTGGTGGGTAGGCTAATTGTGAGCGACGGTGCACAGGGTCCCACTCTGGTTGGATACGAAGTTTCGTTTGTATCTTCATCAGGGTGGGACTAAGGATTTGATATTGAAGAAAAATGTGGGTCGATTTCGGCATAATTGGGGACGGTCTACAGGATGACGCCCTCGACGTTTCAAACCGATGCCTCTAAATGGACGAAATCATCAGGATTTTTCTCTCTCTTAATTATGGGTCAATTGGAACCAAACTCGGCACGTGGATAGAGGTATCCGAACGGAGTTCTCAGACGGACAGACAGACAGATAGAGACGGAAGTATAGTCTGTCCAACGAGAAGATCCTTGACAGTGATATATGTGTCTGTCATTTTAATTTCAGAGTAGTTTATTTTATTTTACAAAGAAATAAGTTGGTACAACTGGAACGCATAGCAGGAAATTATTATATTTAAAATTTGACTGACAAGTGATTACTTCAAAATATTGTGAAAAAAACTGTATAAAACTGATAAAATGTAATCGAGTTATTTAATTTAATAAAAAACGGTATGTGTTAATACAAAACAAACAAGAACAAGACACCACATACCAAAAAAATATAAAAAAGAACTATTTCTTACTTTCAAGCTTTATGAAACTAATTATATTTATTAATATAACTTATGTACAAATACAAATTTGTAATATTCCGCAGGAATAAATAAAACAAACTATTTTATAATTAATAACACTTACCAAATTTTATAGGTACCTTAAAGGTTGATTAATTAACTTTAATCTTAATTTTTGAAACCAGTTCCTTTGGCATTATTTTTCTTGTGCAGTACTAAAATCCATTATTTACGTATCGTGTGATGTCGATATTTTACAGCTACTCCAGTTTTTAGTATGTGTTTAGTATGGTCCTTCTACCATATTCGAGATGCACTTATCTACGACGAGATGGTATACGAACTTTAATGATGGTAACTTTATTGGTGTATAAGACTTTTTGCCTGGGCAGCGAGTATTAACCATAAACTGTGATCTGGGTCTACAGTTAATTTTCACTCGATTTTTCCTCCACTCGACTTCAAAAGACACAAAATACACGTAATAACACGAATCAAAATGCATCATCTTCCAAAACGCAGGGTACTTGACAAAACTGACAAAAGTTGACACAAAATTATAACCTCTAATTTGGCAAGACTTTGACAAGCGTCAAAAATCTAAAGGCGAGTTCATACGCATCGACGTCTGTTTGTCGTTCATCGTTCCGTCAAACCAATAAAATTGAAATACGATCTGTCATTTTTGAAATAAACCAATAAAACTGGTTAAAAACAACAAGAGACGACGCATGACGGATTTATATTTAAACCCATCCATAGTTAACTTAAAAATTGTTAGAAACTTTTTTTAGTAAAGTAAATAGATTGGTATGGGACGTCATCTGCTTTTTTTCTGTCATCGTCTGTCGAAATCTTACCTGAGAAAAAAAACAGAGTATAAGAGGAAATTACACTTCAAATATGCGCACATAGTGCAGACACATTTTTTTTATTTTAATCTTTCTATAATTAGTGTCAATTTTTGACAAGTTTTATGTCAATTTTTAGTAAATTAGTTTAGGGTTGGAGCTCGCCAAAATTATCATCGATTGCCATTGCCCAGCTTGACTGTTCTACGATACAATGTTTTATTCGTGTTTGCCGTCTAGTTTCACAGTTGTATAACAAGCCAGACACGTAAGACTAGTAATTTGGCCAATTTGAGAAATGGTTTAGTAAACGGCAAAAAAAGTGTGCCGTGACTGTTCGAACTGACCTACATCGGAAGAAAACAGGCCGTGTCGGACGTTCCGCTGGCCGTGATTCAACATTATTCGCCGTTTTATTTTGGAAGCGGCCGCTGCCGCCTTGCCGGTTGCCGGTATCGGCTTTCAGCGGCAACTTTTACGGAAGCGCGCTGCTTGTGTCGGCGAATGCACCGCCAGAACCAAATTAGCGGTCCAGTAAATACGATCGATGAGTTAGTAAAGTGCAGTATTGTTTCGGTTATTATTAGAATGAAAAATGTTAAAGAAGAATTTCAAGTTAACGTCTTCTTTTTGCTACCAGTGCTAATCTGGACCAGGGTCACTTACTTCGTTGAGTATTGTTTCGGTCTAATGGTCTAAATCGACTTAGGAGATATTCATACTCGTCCGGTCTGCATTTAAGCAAAATGTACCATTATATAGTCCATAATGTGATTTTCCCTGCTCTCATTGGTTGAGACTAAACGCTGGTGCGTTTTGCCAACCGTGACTAAAACGTGGTACGTTCTGCCATATTCTTTCCAGCATGATGCAAATGTTTTAAGGACAATGCAGATTACACTAACATGTTATAAACGCCATTATTAAAATCTTTGATTTTTAGGAATGACCACAGAATTATCCTATTTAATATTTGATCGTCTTTTTAGGACCAACGTGAAATGTTAAGAAAACGCCTATTTTATAAAAATACTAGCGTGTATTAGCGACTTCGTTCGCGTCGAATTAATCATTTGTAATGGTGATGATAAAGCAAAGCAAGAATTTCCATTAACATACAAACTGGAATTTTATCCTTAGCTTTGGCATAAGGATAGGCCTTAGCTTATGCCATCGACATATTACATAGTGATCAAAACACATCACTGCTTTTTAATAGACATGTATATTGGATGACATCTAAACAGTAATGGATACATATAAAGTACTACAAAATCGGTTAAATTTTATAAAAAAAATATATATTTTTGTTTTTGTAATTAGTCTGAAAATTAACCGTTTTATTTTATGGGATTTTAGTCATCAATAAATTAATAATATAGGTAATCTAAGGAAATCGACATTCGAAAATTTATATTAATATTCAAATATAGGTACTTAATTTGGGCTGTCTTGATTTGACTGTAATTATTTTAATTTAAATCATTTTGCCGACTTAACTCACAGATCACAAGATTTAAATCAGAAATATACTTTCTGACTTTATGACTTCAGTAATAAAAACGACTTAAATTACATTATATTGATTTAACTCTACGAAAATGACTTGACATGATATAAAATGATTTAAGTCAAGATTGGTCAAGACTTAAATCATTTGAACTTTATGTTGAATTTGACTTAAGTACTGACGATTTAAATCATTTTGATTTTAGAAATGACTTAAGACTTTAAGAAGTTTTTTTGAAACTGATTTGTTACAGCTCTGGGTATAGGTATTTAAATAAGATATCATGTTGGTTTATTTATTCTTTATATTACACCAGTTTCTGATATTAATTTTCTGATATTTTTTACGTAACAATTTCGTAATGTAGAGCTATTTACTATATCGATTTCCAGTCTATAGTATCTAACGTTTTATTTTGTAATTTTTATGTTGACATTGTGAATTACTCTTTACATAATAACCGTTTTAATGGCCAAATATTTGTACGTTGTACAAAAATCCCCGTCTCCAACTGGAGCTTAGTTTGATTTTGACGTATTGGTAACCGACTCCGCCAGTTACGACTCTAGCTGTACAGGATGTTCCGTCCAGGAATCGGTTGTAGACTCTGATTGCCGAGATAATTTCGAATCCGTTGTAGCCTCCTGTGGGATATTTAACGCTCACGTCGTTGTAGCCGAACCATTTTGCTTCTCTGCGGTACGTCTGAAAATGAAGTAAATAATTAATTTGTCAGTATTTTAGAGGTGTCTAGTTCGTGAACGAACTAGTTCCAATGAACTATTCCGACCCTGGAATGAACTCAAAGAACTAGTTCCTCAGGACCTATTCCGGGATCGAGACTGTGACCGATATAATAATCCGACGGCGACGGATCGGCCAGCGCGATCATAGCCCGATGCTAGTCGGGAGTGGAGAGTGCCAGCCGTATGTTATGTACCTATCCCGGACCGAAAGGGCTGAGAGGAACTAGAGAAACTAATTAAAAGACCAGTTCAAAGGAATCTATTCAGTTGTGCAAATCGGAGATATAATAAAGGCGACGACGATGGATTCGGCCTGGTCTGTTGCGACAGCCGGCGTAATTACCACAGAAAATTGTCGTGGATACTGTTTTTCATTTTTAGGTTATTTGAATATTTTATGGGAATGTTTCACTTCAGGTCCCTAAAATTAAGAAATATCTTATAAAACGAAGTAGATATTCTGAATTGTTAAACAAAAAGCTTGAAGTGAGGAAAAATGCAATTTTTCGTAAAATTTTCCTATTATTTGCTCCAATTGATTTGTTATATAGTTTTTTACACTCTGATTTGAGTTTTTTCATTATAAAAATTATACAGATCATACTGTGAATAGTTCTGACTGACAACGAAACCCGTTAGCAAGCAACGGGTATGTCAGTGTTAGTCGTGAACTATTGTGAACTAAACATCTAGTTCCAGAAACTATTCCTCTCGAGGAATTGGAACTAAGGAACTAGTTCCTCTTAAGGAACTAGAATTACCACCTCTACAGTATTTAGTTTTTTGAAGATTTTTTATATTTAATATCACAAGTAGTATTTGGGCCGAAAACTAAATACTCCGAATCTATAGGCACATACCCTAGCATCCTTCAGGCAGAAATCTACACTTATCTTAGATAGATACTATCGGAAACAGGAAATAGCCATTTTATCTCTTATCCGATAGTCAAGCAGCATTAAAAGCGATCAACTCAGTAACCATCAATTCGAAGAATGCCTAGAGCAGCTGAACAAATTAGGCAAAAAAAGATTTCCTTTGGGTACCAGCTCACCAAAGGATAGAAGGCGTAATCGCAAAACAATTTCCGATGCACGTGATCAGCTTTGAGTGACAAGCGATGGCAACGGCTCTGCCAGATTGTGATGGATTTATAAGATGAATCTTAATTTAAAATTGACAAACAACATATTTATTATATCATTTTTTAAAGTTTAACGAGTTTTACGTTTTATTTTTAATTTAATAAATAATATTTTAGTGATTAATTGATTTATTTGTTTTATAGCTTATTTTACTTATTACATATTGGCAAAAACTAGTCCATTATGAACATTATTATAAACGTTATTATGGGTTATTCATTTATTGGTGTACATCTTCCAACGCCATAAGTGGTAATAACAAGTAAGAGGGTGCTATTAATCTATTAATGCACAAACTAATAATCACAGAACTTAATAAAAACTAATTTTGAAAGTGGTATAATGGTGCTTACCATTCAAACTTACTTCTCTGACTGCAGTCAAGGGTAATAAAGGACCTTTATTGTCACGTTCTCGTTCAAAATAGTAAAAAAAACAGGGAAGTTACAGGCTCTTTGCTTTGACTGTTTAAATGTTTCGGCATATTTCCACGATACAATTTCAAGAAATGCAATACAAAAACTCGAGAATTTAGTTCTTAAAAGAACTGTTTGTACGTAAAAGTGCAATTTTTAAAAAAAACTATGAAAATAAGCAAAAAAACGAGAATTACTCACAAAGATTCAACAACACGATATTATACAAAATCATGACTGCCATGACACTAGGATAATTATCAAATAATAAAGGACAACATTGCTGAACACTGCGCAATGTGACCAACATAGCGATAATAAAATTCGGTTTAAAATAATTTTTGCAGCTTTAATCTAAATAAAATATCTGTTACAATCATTTGCTCTATAAAGTAAAATGAAGAGCTGCTCGGTATCTTAAATTATACTACAAATTTAAACATTTTTGGCAAAATTTCATTTAGTCAAGTTTATAAAATTTAGAGTCAATGTCGATATAATTGATGACGTGCATCGGAAAATGTTTTGCGATTACAATAGCTATAAAAAGTAGCGAACACTCCACCAACTGGACCAGAACTGTTCTGCTTTCCAAACGGAACTCAAGAGCCTGGAAGGCTCCATCCGTAACCTGGAATGGGAATCCTCCAACGGGCTAGAACATTCGAAGAAATTTCTCAGAACTTATGACCGAGAAAAATCAAAGATTTTCCTTGATGTAAGTGCGAACAATCTTCGCATTGTTACGGGGTTTTTAACAGGATACTTCAGTAGATTGAAGGTAAGAAACAACGGCAAATGGAGATGCTGTGGGGAAAATGGGGAAACACCAGAACCCGTCGCCACTGACTGCGCCGAAACGACAACCATTCGTGCCATAAACTTTGGTACGACTGATATCGGAGATGGATAACTAACAAAACTGTAAAACCATCTCAGATACTGGTTTTTGTCAAAGCCCCGAGACTGTATGATGAGTTATAAGTCAAGAAATGGGGACAGAATAGATCTATAAGATCGTGTTGATTAACTTCCCCCTTCCTCTACAACCTACAACGTTTTTTAGAATTGTAATAGAAAAATCACAAATATCTTACCTGGTTGAATAATAATCTGTCGTATCTCTGGATAAGTCCTTGAAACAGGTGTCCATCATAGGTTTCGTTATAAGTTGTTGGTAAGGTGACGTTGTGTCCAGGAAACTGGTTAGCGTAGTACTGATTGAAAAAGTTATTTTTCGTTGCGTTGGAATTGTATCCAGGGTAACTATAATTATATCCGGGGTTAGTATAGTTTGGTTTAAAACCTGGATAAGTGGAATTGTATTTCGGATAAGTTTGGTTGAATTTGTATCCCGTGCTGGAGTTGAAGTTGCTGATGTTGTATTGAGAATTGCTGTATGAGAGAAACAAATAAATAAAATATAGATTTTTTCTCTAATTCATACGCACTTTTATTCCTTTATTTTTCAGAATCTTAACTGCTGTTATATCACAGCTTATTCAGTACCAGCTAGTCATCTTTGCTTGTTTTTAAGTATCTGCGTGTCACCTATACTGCGCGTATTCTTCTACACATACCAGATACCAGACCAGTTCAGTCAGCCAACACCAAACTCGATAGTATTTTTTAAACGAAGTGACAATGGAGCTTAGAACTCCATTAGTTGGGGAAATTTTAACCCAAAACACCAAATTCGTGGGAAATTCTAAACTCATTCTTCTCTATGCGTAAAAAATAGTTATCTGATACGCATTTCTTAAAGTGCGTAAATTCAAACTAACTACCGCAACTAAATACGTATTTTCGGTTGGCATCAGACATTATTCTTGTACCCCCTTCCATTGAATACATGGTGAATTTTTAATAAATGCTGATATTTCTAGGATGGTACATATATTTCGATCCCAGGGACATGCCCATGCTTTTTTGCGCGAAAAAAAATTGACAAGTATATCTCGAAATTTGTTGTGAAAATTTTTAAATTTTCAGTTAAAAACATATATGTATTGTGTTGACAACACTATATTGAATTTCGGAACTCGTGGGCATTTTTAGAAAAAAACTGTAAATTTTGACCGTCTTCGTTGGAAATTCTATTTCAGAAAGTTGACAACACTGCGCGCAAGCGAAGATGGCCATGGTTGATAACACTCGAAACAAGCGAAGATGACCAGCTGGTACTGAATAAGCTGTGCTATTGCTGCCAAGAACTCGAAAACAGCTGGCACTTGAATGTTATACAGGGTGAGAAATAAGTGCAAATATTTTTAGGGATAGTATATTTCGACCCCGGAAACACGAATATGAGTTTTTTTTCGCGAAATAAAAATTTGTAATTTTTTGAAAAAAAAATTTGGAATTTTTCTTTGGTTTTTGTTAAAAAACATAATTTTTGGATAATATGGTAACATAAGTATGTCCCCGGATTGTCTTTACTAGAGGAAAAACGTCATTGAGAAAAATGCATTCTTCATAAACATTTTTGCTTGCTCTAAAATAGTTAATTTGGTTTATACTTTTCCAAATTTCCATACCGTTTTAGAGAAAATTAAAAAAACATGAAAACATAGTTGAATTTTTTAGTCCTAAAAATTAAAAGGGGTTTCTATGGTAACATCATTCCAAATTTATTCTTTGATAGATTGTTATTGATTGTTATTGATATAATTTTAATTAACGTCATATTTTTTGCTGTTTTAAAATGTTAAAGAAGCACGAAATTTTTATGAAGAATGCGTTTTCCTCTAAATGTCAATTCAATAATCAAAATGTTTTTCCTTTTTCCTCTTGTAAACATAATCCGGGGACATACTGTAGGTAGTAGATTAAATTTACAAGAAAGAAAACCCAGAAAAGATCCAATGATTCTCAAAATATAAGCAAATATAAGAAATTTTCAAAGTAAAATAACTCGGTTATTTTGGACTTATTTGAAAAACTTATTTAGGACTCACCCTGTATATCTACGACTCTTGTGACGTCGTTTTTACTCAGTGATACGGTATTTTGCACACTGATGCGTCACATGGTCAAATAAGCTATAATTGATTAACTACTGTTTACTAATTAAGCATTCAGATTCAATTAAATTGCATTGAATAGTATATTTGAGTAATTAATCCAATTAATATTTTCTGTGCATGCAAATACTATGTCGGTTGTCATATTTATGAATTCAAATATGCGAAATATACCTACTATTCTGAATATAATTATTTTATTTTTGTACAAAGTATACTAATAAATTTAAAAATACTATAATAATAAATATCATGTGAAAATGATAACGGATAATAAATAAAAAAATGAATATTTCTACTTCAAAATTTGAATAATACTTTACAAAAGACTGATTTTGTTTTACATTCTATTTAAATTAATAATTGCGTGGTAGTTACGCTTTTCGAATCATATTTTCTATATTTACTTTCTCTATGAAATATATTTATAATCTTTCAGCCGGTACTTTACTTGCAAAATAAATATTAACATACCTGTATCCCGAATAATTCTGATACAAAGGATATGAAGAATTTACTGGAAACAGAACTTGAATCGGGACGTATTGTTGACTTTGAACTGTCAACACTAAAGCTGCCACAATGACACTGAAAATCAGGCTTCTGGAAAGCTCCATTTTTTCGTTTTTTGTCGTTTTTCGATTTAACTGATAACACAGTCAGTTTGTTAACTTTTATACGGTTTGAAGTTATCTACCGTGTTTACCTAATTTATAGACCAGGAGAGTTAATTCTAAGAGAATTTGGTTAGTTTGAAGGCGGTAGATAATGGTGAATTATGAAATGATATTTTTTAGAGTGCAAGTCCAATCATAGGAATTCATGTTTTTTTAAAAAATTAATAAATTTTAAATAAGTTAGTAAGTAAGTAAGGTAGTAATAAGTTAGTAATTTATAAATAAGAAATAACTTACTGCAAAATGGTTATCTCATAGATTTAATTGACGACACTATCAAGAAAATTGACTACAAAAAAAATCACCCAAACAAGACAGCTATGATGACGAATCACCTACACCCACTACCACAGTGCACTATGGTTTCTAGAAACTACTTTTTTGGCCAAAATTAAACAACTTACATTTAATAAAAATTTTGACTGTAAATTTGTGTTTTTAATAAAATAATAAAAGACTAATAAAATGAAGTTATTTTTAATCTTTCATTCAACGTGTGATTAACTTTTACCTATAAAGCATCTTCTATATCTAGTTCGAAAAAAGATAGTTGATCAATCATCGAATTACTGCTGTCCAAAAAACAATCTTCTTTAGAAATATCTTCTTCTTTTTGCATTTCTTCTTCTTCTTGCTCTTCCTCCTCGTATTCGTCTTCTTTTACATGCTTCTCTTCAAATTGTTCTTCATTTAACTTCTTTTCGATAAAGTCAGGTACACGAAGTAGGTTAAGTACATCTGCAGGATAACTAAATTTACAAAGCAGCCTGCACAAGTAAGGTATTTTGCAGCCTGCACAAGTGAAGCCCAATCCTGCTTATATTCCTCGGAAACTTTTGAGGCCGTTCTTCTCTGGATTCTGGATTATTTCTAAGTTAAATAATCGTTTTCCTTCCATTAAATTTACGCATGAAATTGAGAACAACGACAGATTACCATTTCTAGATGCATTAGTTATTAGAAATACTAGAAATACTAATTGCCTGGAATTTGATATCTATAGGAAAAATACCACCACACGCAGATATATTCCTAACGAATCACATCATAGTGTTGAACATAAAATGGCTAGTTTAAATTTCTTAGTTTCCCACTTTCCAACGAAAGATATGAAATAAAAAGAGATTACATTAGGAATGTAGGTGAGTGTAATGGATATTCTCCTTCACTAGTTGATAAATTAATTAGAAAACGTAGGTATAGGTTAATGATTTCTGAAAATTCGACTTTTCAAGTGGAGAAAGATACGTCTAAATATTTTTCGATACCGTTTGATAGAGAGTTATCCCGTGGTCTAAAAGGAATTTTTAAGAATGTCAATTATAAACTTGTGTATAGTGCTAATAATAAATTACAACAATTATTAGGTAATCCAAAGGATAAAATACCTCCACTGGAAAGGTCGGGTATTTATGAAATTTCTTGTAAAGATTGTAATCAAAAATATGTTGGGCAAACTAGAAGATCAATATTAACTAAATTTAAAGAACATTTAGCTCAGATAAGATATGGTAGACCGGATAAAACTTGCGTTGCCGAACATATTGTTGATAAAGAACATTGTATAGATCTTAATAATTTAAAATTAATTAAACAAGTCTCAAATTACAGACAATTAGATGCATATGAAAGCATCAGAATTAATAAAAGTAAAGATAGTATGAACAGAGACAACGGTCCAATTCCTTCAAGTTCTTTGTTCCTACTACTCTAGTGGCGGAAATCTAACTGTTACGCTCAGTGGGCTCTGACTCGGTTGGCTAGATTTTGCCACGCCCACTCGGTGTCCACTGAGTGAGTATATAAACGCTCAACTTGTAGATTGTACTTTAGTTTATAATCATCTGCTGATGATGCTAACATGGTTAGCGAAACGCTCGTCCAGTGTAAAAGTAAAAGTGTTTTGGTGTATTGTGGTGATTTAGTGTTTTTATTTTGCTGTGTAACACCAAAGGTTCCAACCCTCAACTGTAATCTGGATTCTGCAAGATTGCTCCGAAAAAGGTAATCGTGGGCGGCCGGCAGATGTTGTGGATAGAAGGGGTTCATTTAACTTAAGGATAAAATCCTCCCTTAACCAGTCTTCATTTTGTTTTAAAAATAAATCATTAAGCCGCGAAGCCGCCTGCCATTTTCTTTCAAAATTTATACAAAAGCGATTTATCTTTTTTTCCATAGTGCTTGATAGTTCTTGTTCATTATTCTAAAATTTCTGTCTTACAAAATTTGAAACGTACCCATTTTTCTCAACTTTATCGGCCCCTTGTAGCCATTTTTCCAAAAGATCAATTTTTTTCAATCGATACATAGCTGAAAAAAAATTCTTTTAAAAAAAAGTTGCAGCTAGTAGCAGCCAATTTTTTCTTTGATATGTTCAGAAAGGATTGTTTCAAATTTTACAGTAGCATCTAGCATAGAGAAACATGGAGAATTTTTTATAAGTCAAACTAAACTTTTATCTTTTTATTTATGTTTTGTCTTAGCCCGCGGTTACATTGGATGCGTATCCGTGCGTTTTTTGGTCGTACGTGCTCGGACGTGCACGCAGCTAAAAACAAACAAATGGTATCGACGCAGGCGGTTACATTGGATCGGAGTTTGCGCGTCCGTGCACGTACGTCAATTTCTGTTGGTCGGATGAAAACAAACTGGTTTTTTTTTTTAATACGTGCACGTCCGAGCGTTCGAATTTTTATATCTCTGTGCCCAATATATTCCCAAAAAATTTGAATATTTTTGAATATCAGGTTTATTTTTATTTAGGATATAATTAATGTTGCTGGAAACATTCTAAAATATTCAAAAAATTTGACCGGTTACTGTTTTAATTCACCAAACATTTTAGATATTCATTTTCTTCTGTTCATAAGCAGTTATTTTAACATTAAATCCTCAGACAGCATCAAAGTAGTGGCGTCCGTTTTGACAAACTCGACACACAGGACACCATGAACGCGCATCTAATGTAACCACTAAAATAAAATAGTCGTGCGAGGAAATTCCGTTGTAACAGTCAAATTTCCTCGCAACCACCTCTGTGTGCTAGCTCATAAAATATCGCAAATAGCTATTATTTTTGCATCATGTTTACTATAATTTTATTGTTAAATATTGTTTTATTTAAATTTTACAATTATGCAACCCGATATACACCGCGCTATAGAGCCACAGAATATTGTCACTGGATGCCGCCCAGCATTATAATTTTTGTCCATCTCTCTATATCTTTGGTCATCACTTTTGTCCGTCACAGTCAACACACACACAAATCAGATGTTTTTGGATTTATTTATCCTTTGTTTTGGTTATTGAAATTTTATAATTATCAGATAAAATTTCGTAGTTAAATTGGTTATTTTTGATGTGGATCGCAGTGTGCAATTCGTTCATTTAATTCATTGACCGGATATCGAAGATGGCTGTGAAAATAATCTAGAACATCGTTTTTATTTATGCCTTTTGTGAGTTGGACTAGTCAAGATATATAGTTCTCTATCTATATCCTGGAGGAGATTTCCGGTTGAAATCTGATTTTGTGAAGGAAATTGAATCCTTGCATCACTTCTTGTGTACTCCCCGGCTGAAGAGTGTCGTCGTGAAGAACTGGCTGCCGTTCCGTGAAGCATTCCCTGTTGGTGTTTAGCAGGTCTTCGTAAAGAAGGATTAAGTCTTCCGGAACACATTTGGTCAGAGACGTGGTTGTATTTTGTGGGATTTACACGGACCACCGACCAGTTTCCATAATGGGATTAAAATAGCCTTTTTCCGACCGATATTCCGATTCCACGTGCCCAAGAAGTCCCCGAACAGTTCCAAGGTATGCTATAATTCTTCTGCCTAGTCTAAGTCAATGCTCAACTGATTTTTATTCGTATTGTTGACTGGTTTACGACTTTTCCACGCCCACGTGGTGTAGAAAGATTAGTTGAGTGTTATCTTCCTTAAATCTTATTTGGTTGTTCGTAATTGTAGAGCAAGAAGACCGATCCAGACCGTAGCACAGAACAGTCCAGAATTCCATCCGTTCCTGTTGCCCGTGTGTAGAGTTACCTGTTGGACATCATAAACCCTCGTTGAGGTAAAGTTCAGATTTAATTAGTCCTTCTTTATTACCTTCATTAACTCCTACACGTTGTGCTAGTCCTCGTTCTATAATTGAGGCTCTTTTCTAAGACAACCAATATTATTTAGAGTTTTTATGTTCATCATTTGAAACACCTGCCATGCATCTGTACCTCTGCTGACATCCGTAGGCTCCAGTGACATTGCATCGAGCTGCTGTACACCGTTGTAGCCACCCTGTAGCTATGCACTATAACTAAGCCGGAGGAAGTTTCAGTAGTTTGCAAGTACTTGTCAAGACGTTACGTTAGAGCAAGATCGTTTAGATATTAGTATAATTTTAGACTTGATTTATGGGTATAAACCACCCTGATTGTATTTAGTATTAAGTTAGATAAGGGGGTTTGACGTCATAGGTTTAGTTATTGCATTTAATTTAAAATTCCATTTTCTTTTCCAACCTTTCGATTTAAATAATTTCTTAACATATTACATTTTACATTTCATTCGTTTTTTTATATATATTTAACTTTTTAATATTTTAATAAATTGCTTAAATATTTTTAGTAGTATTATTTACAGTCTAGTCTCATAGTTAAGTTAGAGTCACTTAAGTTTAACGAGTTATAGCATATTTGAAGTTCATGGTAGTTGCACTCAACAGTTCGAGGTTAGTGTTGAAGTCTACTTAATAGTTACATCTTTATTGCCGAGTTCATAGAGTATAATCTCGTGGCGCCCTTTTATTAATATCTTTGAACCCCGACGACCCGGCTGTTAAAATTAAAAAGCTAGTGGCCTCTATGTAACTCATTCTGCATTAAGTAAACTTGTGTTTTATTGAACTTCAAATTAGAAAGGGCGTGGCACCGTCAGAGCTCGCACGTTTAAAAAAACGCACGGACCCGCGTCCAGTGTAACCGCGGGC